ATTCCAGATACTCTGAGATATCGTTATTGTGAATGGGATGGCGTTCTCTCATTATGATTTCTAGTTGGTTATTGATGGTGTAGACCCTGGTATTCAAAGAGCAGTCCATGTTGCAGCAGCATTGGTATCACCTGGGAGATTGTTAGAAAGGTCCAGTCTCTGGCATCAACTCAGACCTCGTGAATCAGAATGTCTTTCAGTAAGGTGTTCATAGGATTCACATGGATATAAAAATTGTAAAAGAAATCAATGTAGAGAAACTTGATTTAGAGAACCATTGTCTTAATTTTCTCTTGAAGAAAAACACTTTCAGTTGCAGTATGGGGACGGCGGTCCAATTGCCCCACAGCACTTTCTCTTCTGTTCCTAATCCTTACTCCTTCAGATCTACTCCTGCACCCCTTCCACAAGAGTTTTTGGGGAAACTCACATTTAAAATGTCTATGGGGTTGCAGATTTGTTAACTTGATGAGATTTTGCTCTTAATCTGATTATAAAATGTTCTTAAGTTCTTAAATATTCCAGGGTTTCTGTTTCCCATGGTTTTTTTAACTTACAAGGTTTTATTTTCTATAATATTAAGGCATGGGGAAAGAAGAAATATTATGCATGGGAGCTCAGCAGCCATCTGGCATCTTCTAAATATAAGGGGGTTTTGGTTTTTTTTGTTGTTGTTGTTGTTTTGAGACGGAGTCTTGCTCTGTTGCCCAGGCTGGAGTGCAGTGGCATGATCTTCGCTCACTGCAAACTTCACCTCCCATGTTAAAGGGATTCTCTTGCCTCACCTTCCCAAGTAGCTGGGATTACAGGCGTGTGCCACTATGTTTGCCTAATTTTTTTATTTTTATTAAAGACAGGGTTTTGCCATGTTGGCCGAGCTGGTCTCAAACTCCTGACCTCAAGTGATCCGCCTGCCTTGGCCTCCCAAAGTGCTGGGATTACAGGTGTGAGCCACCACACTGGGCCTAAATATGTATATTTTAAAGTTTAGTAGTAAGTTGATTCAATAGAATAGTGTTTCTTTTAGTTCCTAAAGCAAAATGTTTAGGATTACACATTTTACTCTGTTAACTCATATATACATACATACATACATTTGTAAAAGTATCTGCTGTATTGAATTTACACCGAAGCTGTCCTTTGAAAATAAAAACATATGCTAGCAAGGAAAATTTTGTATTAAAAGGCTTTTAAATTTTGACTGTATTTTCCAAATTATCTCAGTAAACTGAATCTTTCTCTTTTTTGTAGAGCCAGCTAAGTTAGCCATGAGATATTGTTGGACATTCCATCTAATAGGATAATGAAGATAATGATGCTCATTTTTGTCATGATTTAATCTAGTCTACATGGGAATTTGTGCTTTTCTGTCTAGACACTTCTGTGATTTCCTTCTTTATTTTTTACTTTTGTACGTTCTTGTTCTGAGTTCCATTTATGAATCAGTGCTGTCCACCACTATTTTTAACTCTTGTCTGGAATAAAAGAGAGCCCCAGACCTTTTGTAGGTTTAACTATAGTATTAATAATGATTGTGGGGCTGGGTGTGGTGGCTCACGCCTGTAATCCCAGCATTTTGGGAGGCCAAGGAAGGCAGATTATGAGGTCAGGAGTTCAAGACCAGCCTGACCAACATGGTGAAACTCCGTTTTTACTAAAAATACAAAAATCAGCCGGGCATGGTGGCGCATGCCTGTAATCCCAGTTACTTGAGAGGCTGAGGCAGGATAATAGCTTGAACCTGGGAGGTGGAAGTTGTAGTGAGCCGAGATCACACCACTGCACTCCAGCCTGGGCAACAGAGGCAGACTCTGTCTCAAAAAAAAAAAAAAAAAAAAATCGTGGGATATATTATGGTCTACTTGTTACTAATATTAAAACAATTTTAGGGAATAATTATCACTTTAATAGTGTTATTAAATCCTTGGATGTAGAATATACTTTTTTGGCTATTTTAAGTGGGGTACAGTGGAAATTGCCTGTAACAATAGGTATGACCATAGGCACATATTATAATACAATTGTAAATAGGAACAGCAGGAAATGGCTACAAACTATGATTCTAGAACAGCGCTTCTTCTTCTCAATCTTAAACGGACATTCCAATCACCTGATGTTCTTGCTAAAATGCAGATCCTGATTTTCCATGTCTAGGTTGGAGCCTGAGATCTTTTGTTTCTCACAAGCTCCTAGGTGACTGCCCACGCTGCTGGTCCACAGACCATACTTAGGGTAGTAAGGCTGTAGAGCAGTGGTCTGAAAGTGGAGCGCCCAGAAGCAATCTGCATTTTAGTGAACTCTCAAATAATTCCGGTGCACCCTGAGTTTGAGAACCTCTATTGTAAATCATAGAAATGTTTATATCTTCAGTACTATTATCCAAATGTTCACCCTCATTAAAAGTGAAAGAAGGCAAAGACGTGAGGTCTAACGACCATATCCTCCTGAACAGTGGTTTAATGTATGTATCTTCCTGAAATAGTTGTTTTAGAAGACAGGGGAGAAGTTAATTTTCCTAACTGATGAGACTGTCCTTGAACTAACTGTCATCCCATCATAGAGGAGGGTGCTATTCTCACCTTATGATATGTATATGTAGAGAGAAAGGAAGAGAGAGAGAGAGACACCCTTATTTTAGCATGACCTTTCCCACTGTGAAGATAGGACCCTTAATTCTAAAGGATGAATTACTTTGGAGCACATCATTAAGATTCTACAAGGTACATGTTAGAGAGTGTACCATAATGGAAGAAGGGCAAATGTACAATATATATTTATAAATGTTATATATATAAGTACCATATATATTTATAAATGTTATCTATATAAGTGCTATATATATATAACATATATAAATACATTATAAAATATAATTAAAGTTACTGGCGTATTAGTTTTGCTTTTTCATGAACAATTCACTGATGGTTTCATTTTCCTCAAAATCCTTGGTGGAAAATTGCAATATTGGCAAAAGCTTCAGAAAAAATCTTTTTGAGGCAGTTACTTAGACTATAATCCAAAAACAACAGAGAGATAGGTTCGTCCAGAAGCTGCATGCAGGTAGCTACCTCAATTAACCCATTGTCTCATCTCCTAGGCTGCTGAAAGAGGAGAGCGCAACTCAGGAAAGGGGCCCAACTCACTCAGGCACACTCATTTTAATAAAGTTCACAGAAAGGTGAGGGACCTTAGAATCATTAGCAGAGTTTGGAAAGAGACAGAAAGATGCAAATAAGCCCAAAGCCTTTACCTAGGACCCCCAGGTTCAGAATCTTGAGAACTTTGGGGTTTTCAAGAGAACTTCCCGTACGGGAAATAGCCTTGTATTGAACCAGGGTTAGCTGATGCAGTAGGCAACCTCTTACGGACAAGGTATTCAATTTCTATGAAACATACAGGCTTATCGAATAATGGTGCAGATTTGGGCACAAATTAACTCGATTCTAGTTTTAGAAACTGCTTTGCTCATTAAATATTTTTTCTTCAACTGTTAGCAGCAGTCAGACAAAGCAATTTTTAACCCAATTTCCGCATCTTAAGTTTGTTTTTCCACCTAGCCCAAGGTAAAGTGGATGGGTCACAGGTCCAGATAAATCACAAAGATTTTTCACGTTTGACCAACAGAAGTGAGTCATTTCTTCTTTGCTTACTAAAAAGGCCTCTTGTCTTCTCCCATTAAGATACATTCCCAACATCCAGCATGTGTCTTGTGGAATCTTAATTGTGTCCATCAAAGCAAATTAAACTTGAGAAGTAAGGATTCTGTTTTCAGAGTGAAACATGACGTGCTACAGTAAGGCAGTCCCAACATTTTGTAATAAGAGAAGAAAATCATCCAAATAGTGAAAAGCAAGTGTGACTCAGAGAAGTGAGATGGTCCCTTGACAGGTTATCTTTTTCCAAAGATCACTGCAAAATAATCCCATCTCACGTACTCCTAGACTGTGGATTGGACACCCCTCTCATCGAGAGGGGGGATTCTATGTGGGTGGTGTATGAGTTTGACCAAATTGAAGCCAATGCTAATTCCTAAAAGGTGATGCATCTTCTGTCTGATTCTTTTTGAGCACCTGTTCTTGGAACACAACCAACATGATGTGAGAAAGCCTAAGCAGACCCATGAGCTTACCTATGTAGGTGCTCAAGCAATAACCCAGTAGAGAACCAACCACCAGTATTAGCCTCGAGACAAATGAATAAACGTCTTCAGATGATTCAAGCCCCCAGTGGTCAAGTCACCTGCAGTATTTGAAGATTCCGGTTGAGACCTCAGACATCACAAAGCAGAAACACAAAATCATCATTGTGCTCTTTTGAAATTTTTGAATTGCAGAATCCATGAACATAATAATATACGTATTGTTTTATTGAGTGATGAGTTATGCAGTAATACACATATACACACATACAAACTTTGTTTACCAGTAGATGGATGGCATTTATCACCTAGAAAGTTTCTTTTCTTCTCACAACATTTTGTATTTGCAGAAAAGAGAACTACTTCAAAGATTTTTACATTGCCTCATACCTCAGACCATTGGTAATTGTATGGCCTGATCAGATAATATTATAATTACAATGTCAGTAGTCCCAAAAAGCTGCATAAGGACCACAAATTTTAGAGTGTATCTCATCTTCAACATGGCTTGGTCCTTAATCAGACTGATAATAACCTACCCCATGCAGAAGTCATGAATATGTGTACAAATCGAGATATGCTTATTCTCTTTATTCCAGGTTCTTTGCAGGACCAAGCTTTCCCTTTGGATGCAAGTTGCATGGCATGGGCCCAGGTTAAAGGGTGGGCTAAGCTCTGACATAGTACAGCTTCCTCATGGCCTGTTTTTCCTCCCAGTCTTTATCCAGGACGATGACTGCCAGATAGGCCATCAGGGTTTATTCACTGCCTGATGTCCACATGTTAAATCCAGATCCAAGTTGTCATATGATTGGAAGGAGATGTTATAAAACGTAGATTTTGTGTTTACATTTTGTTCCAGATGGACCAGCATGGATATTTCCCTGGCATAACTTGTTATTTTACATCTGTGGAGCAGCAGTGAGTTGATTGTGTCTTCCTGAAGATCAAGACTGGTGAGGATGTTTGGATAATAATCAAAAGACTATGTTGGACACCATAGTCTTGAAAATATTTAACAGCATCCTCTCTGTGCTAATATGAACTTTGAAGAAAAAGATGCAGTAGGATACAGAAAAACTTCAAAATACATTCATGGGAAATAATGATGGCTATTGGAATTAATCACTGCTAAATATCCTCTTATTACAGGACATTTGGATGGTTCTAGCTAATGCCAGAGAGGGGTAGATTTTATAAAAAGATAAGAAAAGATTAAGGAAAATCATGAATAAGGAGAAGAGGTAGACTGGAACATTTACAAATAAGATACAGAATCAGAGTATGTAAGGCATGAATGGAGCCTTGGAGTGTAATGGGAGGTAATTTGCTACATCTAATTGCATCCAAATATGGTGCTGAGACTTTCTTTTCCACCTTGGTATTGATATGTCTGTTTATCAAGAGCCTCATTTTTTTTTTTTTTTGCTTTCAGGTATTTTCAACTAATTTAGATCCTTAAAAACAGTGGGTTCCCAAGAGATTACATGGGATTTAGTCAAATTACAGAATATGGCCAAGTACTTTTACTAAAATAACCAAATGCTAGCAGTTGGCAACTTTGATGAGCCCTAATTCCCAGGGACCTAGAGAATATCTTCTCTTGCCAGATGATATAAATTCTTATTTGATCAGCTGTGGTATATTCTGTATGCATTGGCTGCAGTTTTACATGGCGTTCCAGAGCAAGCCATTATAAAGTCTTCATCTGGAAGTTGATTTTTTAAATCCTTTTCTTGACTTTAGGCCATTCCTCCTTCTCCTAAATCACTAGTTCTCAAGTCATGGTCTGTAGATTAACGGTATCAACATTGGCTGGAAACTAATTAGAAATGCAAATTATTGAGCCCCACCCCAGATCTACTTCAGAAACTCGGAGGTTGACTAAACCTTGCATCTTGTCAAGTCATCTAGGCGATTTTAACACATGCTAGTGTTTGAGCAACACCTTCCTAAGGTTGTGCATGAGCTCTCTCAACCTGGGTAAGCCTCATGCATTGGGTTTTGGGGGACAGCTAGGGCAGGTTTTTCAACCTCTCCCCTTTTTTCTCTATTTGCTCCATACTCACTTCCACCAGGGCCTTCTCTTTGGATTCTCAGGAGCATGTATTGGAGGTAAAAAAACCCAAAAAAACAAAAAAAACAAACCTGCCTTTCTCTTTGTTCTTTTGTTTTAAGAAACCTAATTTTCCTTGAGGTAGTGTGTTTTCATCTGACTGAGAAGGGGAGAGGGTTGGTAAAAAAGGAAGTATAGAAAAGGGGAAAAAATTGTTTTTAGATACACTCTTGCTACCTGGGAAGATACTGTCAGACAATTATATGGTCTATCTAATTTAACATCTTCTTTTATTTTTAGCAGATATATCACATGGAGAAAATATACCTTTAGTAAATAAAAATCAGTGAAATAAATTTTGCTTTGCTTTGTGCTTAGTGTATGTGACATAAGTACCAATAAGTTATTAGAGATTCTTCTTTTATTTTAAATTACATTCTTGATCAATGTATTTTAAATCATCTGTCTTACTGCTTCCATACCTCTAGATTATATAAGAATATAAAATATGACTCTCAGAATGATCAACCTGAGTAATGCAACATTTCAGATAATCAAAACAATTTCACTAAGAGTTTTTCAGCATCCAGTATGGTAAGCTCCAGTCACAAAGATAAAATAATCAGAATTTCCACTCATAGTTTAACTTAAGTTGTCATCTCCTATTACAGTTAGGTCAATGCTTCCTCAAAAGTTGTATGCAGATACAGTGACTGACTGTTCATTCAAAAATATTTATTTTATATTTTTATCACATAGGGAAAAGAGTCTGTGTGTGTCTGTGTGTGTGTGTGCGCATGTGTGTGTGTCTTCAATCTCTGTTTCTCTGTCATCTTTTTCTTTTCTATGTTAGTCCATTCTCACGCTGCTCTGAGGAAATACCCAAGACTGGGTAATTTATGGAGAAGAGGTTTAATTGACTCACAGTTCCGCATGGCTAGGGAGGCCTCACAAAACTTACAATCATGGTGGAAGGCACCTTTTCACAGGGCAACAGTAGAGAGAATGAGTGCTGAGCAAAGGGGGAAGCCCCTTATAAAACCATCAGATCTCATGAGAACTCACTATCACAAAAACAACATTGGGGAAGCTATGCCCAGGATTCAGTTACTTCCACCTGGTCCTGCCCTTGACACTTGGGGATCATTATAATTCAAGGTGAGATTTGGGTGAGGACACAGAGTTAAACTATATCATTTTCCTTTTTTAAACACATCTATGTTGCCTCTACCCTATTCAAATGAAATAACATAAAATACTTCTCTCATAAATCCTGTTCTAAAAAATCTATTCTACCTCTGCATTTTCACTAAAAAGTATGAATGTGAGTTATTTTAAGTCTATAGGAAGAGTACTCTATGGAAACAGCTTCTTAATAATTTGAGTTATAAATGATACTCTATTCACTAAGGCTGCAAACTTAAAGGCACAGTATTTTTTAGAATGTGAAGTTCAACTTTCTAAGTTTGTTTAAAATGAATTATTTTGATGAAAATTCAATAATTTGCACTTATAAATATAAATTAATTTTAGTATATTAAATATCTATAATGATTAGCTCTTATTTAATTAAGTATTTTGCTTTAGTCCCCATTTAATTAAATGTCATAAACATTTTAAAAGGCAGTCAGTTCTCAGGTATATTCGTCTTCATGAAGAAACTTTAATGCATGTTAGGACAAATTTGACAAAGGAAGACCAAAAAGGGTACAGAAATGGGCAGATTACCACCATGGACCACTGAGGCTCAATCCTTCAGAGAACACTTGGAGAGATTCTAGAACACTCTCCCTGCAGAGTCTCAGGAATCTGGGAGAGCTGTTGCCAATTGGTTGAGGGTGGTTTTTGGGAACATTGACATCCTGGCACTTCTAATCTGCCACTTGTTTGTTGAGCATACTTCTAAAGTCAGAAGAAGTCTTCAGGCAGAGAGATGCATAAGCTTAAAGAAGAAAAAAAAACCTGACATATGCCCCAGAATTGTGCACACACTCCAGTAGCACAGGTGACCAAGGAACATGGAAAAAGGGGCATCAATTTCTTCTCTATCTAGTAGTAGTTTAAATAGCATAAAACAGCAAATAAATCGTCTTTTTTTGTTTCTATTGGATATTTGTACTTGAAGAAATGCTTAGCAAATAGAGGAGGAAATAATAGAAGGGCATGTGTGAACATTTAGAAGAAAATATCTATTATCATTCAATGATTCAGAAGATAATGAAAAGAGACTTTTAGGAATTCTTCACAACAATTTGCTTCTATGGCTGCTCTTTATTTTATTTTTATTTAAAAATACTCTTACTAAATATTAATTAAGTTGATTAACTAGCACTTAAGAGAAATTTTAGATATACAGAAAAGAAATAGAATGAATAGTCACTGTCACCCAGATTTAACATTCTATAACATTTATTTCTAAAAGAAACCTAGTAACAGCACATATAGAAACATTTTATGTAGAGAATCTGAAACTCCTGTGTATTGCAGGTAAGAGGATAAAGTTAAACATTTTAGAAGAAACTTTGGCAAGATCTACTGAAGTAGAAGATACATATGAAACTACTACCCACAACTGCATTTCTAAATGTTTATCTTAGAGAAACTCTTGTGAATGCCTATAAGGAAAGATTTGTAAGCACTGTTTGTAACAATAAAATGCAAAATAATATAGCTATCTCTCCATTGGTTAATAGACAAAATAAGTTATTTCATTTATACAGTGGAAGCTAAATAGTACTTAAAATGTTTCCAGTATCCTGTATCATTACTATCAAATGTTTGCTGTCCTATGTCCCTTACCTAGTGGCTGATAGATGATTTTGCCCTATAATTTTGTGGTGTCCTTTCTAGTGGGGAGATTAAACCTCCCCATTCCACTAGAGTTATTTGAGGTGACATGGCTTATTCCAGCCAATAAAATGTTGGCAGTAGTGAGCACGCCTCTTCCAAGCAGAGGGGTGAGAAGCCATTTCATGAGTCTGCTATTACTGAATGTTCTCTTGGCCACAAGCTTAACAACATCCCAGAAAGAAACTGATTACCCTATCTTGCCTCAGGATAAATGAAAATGAAATAGACTCACAACTCGTATGGTCTATGAGTGAGAATTAAACTTGTTTATTGTGAGGCACTGAGATTTTGGGGATGTTTGTAGCATAACTCCAGAAATACTGGCTTCCCATCCAAATAACTAGATACTTAGGGTTATGTGCAAATAAAGGGATAGGAAAAGCAATATAAATTTTATCAAAAGCAGAAGAAAAATAATGTAGTTGTTTATAGGGAGACGTAAAAGCTAATGGGTCAGGCTTTCTTCATTAGTACTGCAGTTCTACCAACTCTTACGGAAATATTAGCTGCATTCACCTAATGGAAAATTAAATACCCTTGATTAATAAACATGGGAAAATAATTATTTTCTAGTGAGTAAATTTAGATTCTCTGTTAGAAGGTGTTTTATAGAGTGTAGGCTTTGAAGTCAGATCTGGGTATAGATACTAGGCCTGCCATTCACTGGCTCTGTATCTTTGAGCTTAACCTGGTTGAAGTAGAGGAATCTCTCAATACATTGCAGCTATTATCATGTAGAAGATTTCAAAACATTAAGTCTTTCATTTAAGTGCTAAATAAGTGAACTTGACGTGGAGAAAGATCAGGGAACAGAAGGCTCCACTAATCATTCCCCTACCCCCTCAAAAGAACACCAATTTAACAACTATCTACACAAAAACAGCACCTTTACAAGAACAAAAATCAGGTGGGCAGTCAGAGTACTTGGTTTTAACTTTGTATCACTGACTGAAAGAGGAACAAAAAAACAGTCTTGAATTGCTTTCACCACCCCCTCTTCTATTTCCCAGAATCAGCAGTTTGCTGTGGAGAGTGTTTCTGTGCACTGGAGAAGGAAGAGCACATTTCTGTGTGCTGGAGGAGGGAGAGCACAGCAATTGTGAAGCATTGAAGTCAGTGCTGTGCTACTATAGCAGAAAGAAAAACTGGACCAAACTCAGTTGCCACCAGCTCACAGAGAGAGCATTTAAACCAGCCCTCGTGAGAGAGGAATTGCTGATCCCGCGGTCAGAACTGGAGTTCCCAGAGGCCTTGCCACTACAGACTAAAGTGCTCTGGGGCTCTAAATAAACTTGAAAGGCATTCTAGGCTGCAATTCCAGGTGACTCCTAGTGCTGAACTGGGCCTGTAGCCAGACCACTGAAGGGACATGCAACCTCCTGAGACACCAGTCAGTGTGGGGCTAAGGGGGTGTTGCCATCACCCCTGCTCTAACCCCAGGCTACACAGCTCATGGCTTCTAATAAGATCCCTCCCTACTGCTTGAGGAGAGGAGAGGGAAGAGTGTGGAGGACTTTATCTTACATCCTTGATACTAGCTCAGCCATAGCAGGACAAGGCACTAGTCAGAGTTGTGAGGCCGCCTTTCCAGGCCCTAGCTCCCATATGATATTCCTAGATACAACCTGGGCCACAAGAGAACCTGCTGCCTTGATGGGAATGACCTAGTCCTGGCAGCATTCATCACCTGCTAACTGAAGAGTATTTGGGCCTTGAATAACCAGCAGTGATACCTAGGTACTAGTCGAGGGCCTTGAGTGAAACTCTGAGACATACGACTTCAGGTGAGACTCAACACATTCCCATCTATGGTGACTATGGGGCAAGACTCCCTCTGTTTGAGAAAAGAAGAGGGAAAATAAAGGGGACTCTGTCTTTCACCATATGTACCAACTCAGCCAAAATGAGGTAGAGGATCAAGTGGGTTCTTGGGGCCCCTGATTCCAGCACTTGACTCTTCTATGGCATTTCTGGACCTGTCCTCTGCCAGAGGGGAGCCCAGTGCCTTGAAGGGTAAGTCCCAGGCCAGGCAGCATTTGCCACAGCTATTTCCACAGGTTAAGCCCTTGGGACTTAAAGAAACATAGGTGGCAGTCTGGCAGTACTCCTTGTGGCCTGTGGTGGCAGTGGCCATGGGGTGAGTCTCCTCAGCCTTTGGAAAGTGAGGAGGAGAGTGGGAAAGACTGTGTCTTGTGGCTTGAGTGCCAGCCCAGCCTCAGTACAATAGAACACCAGATAGAATTCTAAGATTTTAGACTCTAGTCCCTGGCTTCTGGGCAGCACCTCTGTACCCACCCAGGTCCTAGGGAACTCACAGCCTTGAAGTGAAGGACACAGCCCTGGCTGAATTTACCACCTGATAATTGCAGAGCCTGAAGGCCTTGAGAAAGCATAGGCAGTAGCCAGGAAGTGGTTACAGGAGGTTTTGGGTGAGACCCAGCACTGTACTGGCCTCAAGTCAGATCCAGAACAGAATGGTGGTAGCCAAAAGGGTCCTTGTGTCACTCCACCCCCAGATTCAAGTGGCTCAGAACAGAGTGAGAAGCCCCATTTGTTTGGAAGAAAGTAAGGGAAGAGAACAAGAATCTCTGCCTGTTAATCCAGAGAATTCTTTCAGATCTTGTCTAAGATCATTAAGGCAGTGCCCCTACAAGTCTGCGAGAACCACAGTGTTACTACACTTGGGGTGCTCCCTAAAGCAGATATAACTTACATCACAAAACCCAAGAAATTTTTAAGATCTGGGAAGTCTTTCCAAGGACCACAGGTACAAACAACCCTAGACTGTGACGACTACAATACATACATAACTTCATTGCCGAGACACAGATGAACATCTACAAGTATCAAAACACTCCAGAAAAACATGACCTCACTAAATGAACTAAATAAGGTACCAATGACCAATCCTGGAAAAGCAGAGATATATGACCTTTCAGACAGAAAATTCAAAACAGCTGTTTTCAGGAAACTCAAAAAAATTTAAGATACACATAGAAAGTATTCAGAATTATATCAGATACATTTTACAATCAGATTGAAATAGTTTAACAGAATCAAGCAGAAATTCTGGAGCTGACAAATGCAATTGGCATACTGAAGAATGCATCAGAGTATTTTAATGGTAGAATTGATCAAGTAGAAGAAAAAAATAGTGAGCTTGAAAATAGTCTATTTGAAAATACACAGTAAGAGGAGACAAAAGAAAAAAATTAAAAACAGTGAAGCATGTTTACAAGATATAGAAAATAGCCTCAAAGGGGCAAATGTAAGTTATTGGCCTTAAAGAGGAAGTAGAGAAAGAGGTAGGGGTAGAAAGTTTATTCAAAAGGATAGCAATGGAGAACGTCCCAAGCCTAGAGAAAGATATCAGTAGCCAAGTACAAGAAGGTTATAGAACACAAAGCAGATTTAACCCAAACAAGACTACTTCAAGGCATTTAATAGTCAAACTTTCAAAGATCAGGAAGGGATCCTAAGCACAGCAACTGAACAGAAACAAGTAACATAAAATGGAACTCCAATACATCTGGCAGCAGACTTTTCAATGAAAACATTACAGGCTAGATGAGAATAGTGTGACATATTTGAAGTACTGAAGAAAAGAAAACTTTTACCCTAGAATAGTATATCTTGGAAAAATATTCTTCAAATATAAAGGAGGAATAAAGACTTTCTCAGACAAATGAAACCTGAGGGATTTCATCAATACCACTCCTGTCCTACAAGAAATGCTACAAGGAGTAGGAAAAAAGACTATGTTAATAAACAATGAGTACTCACCTTAAGGCACAAAACTCACTAATAATAGTGAGTACACAGAAAAATGCAGAATACTATAACACTGTCACTGTGGTGTGTAAACTACTTCTATCCTAAATAGATTAAACAATGAACCTATCAAAAACCAAACAAAGCTAAGTAGTAGAATTTTTATTAGTTTTCTTTTTGCTTGTTTGTTTATGCAAACAGTGTTACGTTGTTATCTGCTTAAAATAATTGATTATAAGATAATATTTGCAAGCCTCATGGTAACCTCAAACCAAAAAACATACAAGGGATACACACACAGAAAAAGGCAAGAAACTAAACCACATTACCAGATAAAATCACTTCCACTGAAGGAAAGACAGGAAGAAAAAAATAGAAGGAAAGGAAGACAAGAAAAATAAAAACAGAAAACAAATAGCAAAATGACAGGGGTAAGTGCTTGCTTATCAATAAAAACATTGAATGTAAATGGATTAAACTCTCCAATCAAAAGATGCAGAGTGGCTGGATGGATTAAAAATCCAAAAGCCAATGATCTATTATCTATTAGAAATACACATCACCTATAAATAAACACATAGACTGAAAATAAAGGGATGGGAAAAAGTATTCCTTTCTAACAGAAACCAGTATGGAGCACGAGTAGTTACACAAAATAGACTTCATGACAAAAGCTATAAGAAGTGATAAAGAAGGTCACAATACAGTGATGAAGGTGTCAATTCAGCAACAGAATATAATTTTAAATATGTATTCCCCCAACACTGGAGTACCCAGATAAATAGAACAAATATAGAGCTAAAGAGAGAGAGAGACTCCAATACAATGATAGCTGGAGACTTCAACACTCCACTTTCATCATTGGATAGATCTTCCAGACAAAACATCAACAAAGACACATCAGACTTAATCTGCTCTATAGACCAAGTGGAACTTCATCTAATGGCTGCAGAATACACATTCTTTTTCTCAGCACATAGATTGTTCTCAAGGGTAGACCATATTTTAGGTCACAAAACAAGTCTTCAAACATTCAAAAGAAAATGAACTAGTATCAACCATCTCTTCTGACCACAGTGGAATAAAACTATACACAATAAAATGAAACTATACAAATACATGGAAATTAAACAATATACCCCTGAATGACCAGTGGGTCAACGAAGAAAAAGAGGGAAATTGAAAAGTTTCTTGAAACAAATGATAATGGAAATGCAATATACCAAAACTTAACAGGATACAGCAAAAGCAGTACCAAAATGGAAGTTTATAGCAAAAAGTGCTTACATCAAAATAGAAGAAAAACTTAAAATAAACAACCTAATGATTCATCTTAAAGAACTTGCGAAGAAGGAGCAAACCAAACCCAAAATTAATAGAAGAAAAGAAATAATAAAATTCAAAGCAGAAATAAAAGAAATTGAATAAAACAATATAAAAGATGAATGAAACAAAAAGTCAGTTTTTTAAAAAAAAGTTAAAATTGACAAACCTTTAGTCAGACTAACTAAGGAAAAAAGAGAGAAGATTCAAATAAAATAAATAAAATCAGAAATGAAAACAGAAGACATTACAATTGATACAGCAGAAATTTAAAGAATCATTAGTGGATACTATGAGCAACTATATGCCAATGAATTGAAAAATCTAGAAGAATTGAACACATTCCTAGACACCTATAACCTGCCAAGATTGAACCATGAAGAAATCCAAAACCTGTTCAGACCAATAACACATAGTGATATCAAAGCAATAATAAAAAGTCTCCAAGTAAAGAAAAGCCTGAGACACGAGGCCTTTATCACTGAATTCTACCAGGTATTTAAAGAAGAACTAATACTAATCCTACTCAAACTATTCCAAAAAATAAAAGAAAAGGTAATACTTCCAAACTCATTCTATGAGGCCAGTATTACCCTTATACCAAAACCGAAGACACATCAAAAAAAGAAAACAACAGGCTAATATATCTAATGAATGTTGATGCAAATTTCCTCAATAAAATACTAGCAAACTGTATACAATACACATGAAAAAGATGATTCTTCATGACCAAGAGGGATTTATCTCTGGGATGCAAGTATGGTTCAATATATGCAAATCAATCAATGTGAGACGTCATGTCAACAGAATGAAGGACAAAAATCATGATCATTATCAATTGATGCTGAAAAAGCATTTGATAAAATTCAACATCCCTTCATAATAAAAACCCTAAAAAATTAGGCATAAAAGGAACATACTTCAACATAATAAAAGCTATATACAACAGATGCACATCTAGTATCATACTGAATGGGGAAAACTGAAAGCCTTTCTTCTAAGATCTAGAACATGACAAGGATGCCCACTTTCATCCGTGTTATTAAACATAGTACTGAAGTTCTAGCTAGAGCAATCAGACAAAAGAAAAAAATAAAAGGCATCCAAACTGTAATGGAAGAAGTCAAATTATCTTTGTTTGCAAATGATACAATCTTATATTTGGAAAAACCTAAAGACTTCACCAAAAAAGTAGTAGAACTAATAAACAGATTAAGTAAAGTTGTGGAACATAAATCAACATGCAAAAAGTAATAGCATTTCTATATGTCAACAGTGAACAATCTGAAAAAGAAATTAAAAAGTAGTTTCATTTAGTATAGCCACAAACAAAATTAAATACCTATGAATTAAAGAGGTGAAAGATCTCTATGATGAAAACTATAAAACACTGATACAAGAGACTAAAAAGGCCACAAAACATTGAAAAATATTCCATGTGCATGGATTGGAAGAATCAACATTGTTATAATGTCCATACTACCTGAAGCAATCTAGAGTTTTAATGCAATTCCTATCAAAATCCCAATGATATTCTTCACAGAAATAGAAAAAACAATCTTAAAATTTACATGGAACCATAAAAGACCTAGAGTAGCGAAAGCTATCTTAAGCAAAAGAACAAAACAGAGGAATAAATTACCTGACTTCAAATTATTCTAGAGAGCTCTAGTAACTAAAACAGCATGGTACTGGCATAAAAACAGATATATAAATCAACAGAACATAACAGAGTTCAAAAACAATCCACACACCTAAAGTGAACTCATTTTTGACACAGGTGCCAAGAACACATATTGGCAAAAAGAGAGTCTTTTCAATAAATGGTGCTGGGAAAAATAGATGTCTATATACAGAAGAATAAAACTATGCTTCTATTGCATGCCATATACACACACCATATACACAAATCAAATCTAAGGTATCAAAATACAAAACTACGCAAAGAAAACATTGGAAAAAATCTTCAGGACATTGGTCTGGGCAAAAATTTCTGAAATAATATTCCAAAAGCATAGGCAACCAAGCAAATATGGACAAGTGGGATCATATCAAGTTAAAAAGCTTCTGCATGGCAAAGGAAACAATCAACAAAGTGAAGAGACAGTCCACAGAATGGGAGAAAAGACTTGCAAACTATCCATTTGACAAGGGATTAATATCCAAAATATATAAAGAACTTAAACAACTCTGTGGGAAAAAGCCTAATAATCTAATTTTAAAAAATGACCAAATATTTGAATAAACATTTCTCTAAAAAGACATACAAATGGCAAACAGGCATTAGAAAAGGTCCTCAACATTACTGATCATCAGAGAAATGCAAATCAAAACTACAACAAGATATCATCTCACCCCAGTTAAAATGGCTTAGGATATGGTTTAGATATGTGTCTCCACCAAAATCTCATATTAAAACATAATCCACCTCCAGGGTTGGAGGTGAAGCCTGGTAGGAGCTAATTGAATTACGGGGGCACATTTTTTATGAATGGTTTAGTACCATACCACTTGGTAGTGTCCTTGAGATAGTGAGTGAGTTCTCATGAGATCTGGTCATTTCAAAGTGTGTAACACCTTCCCCCTTGCTCTCTTGCTTCTGCTTTTGCCATGTGATGTGTCTGCTCCCACTTCGTCTTCTGCCATGAGTAAAAACTCCCTGAGTTCGCCCTTCAAGCTGGTTGGTGCCTTGCTTGTACAGCCTGCATAACCATTAGCCAATTAAATCTCCTTTCTTGATATTTTGTCCAGTCTCAAGTATTTCTTCATAGCAATGCAAGAACAGCCTAATATAGCTTATATTCAAAAGACAGGCAAAAACAAATGCTAGCCAGGATGTGGAGAAAAGGGAAAGCTCATACACTGTTGGTGGGAAAGTACAACCTATACAAAAATGAGTTGGGATATTCACCCCAAAAATAAAAATTGAGCTACCATATGATCCAGCAATCCCACTGCTCAGGTAACCCCAAAGAAAGGAAAACAGTGTACTGAAGAGATCTCTGCAGTATACTGAAGAAATATC